TAGACGCCTCGCACACCTCTAGAGGGGGGGTGAATAGAGGTGTTGCCCAAAAGACCGGTTTTTTGCGCGGAAACGTTCTTCACGAATATTCAACAAAAACAATGCACCACAAACAAAATAAAGTGAAGGATAAGAGCAATGCACACACGATATATACTGGTTCGGCCTAAATGCCTACATCCAGTCCCCGAAGCAATCGTGCCCATGCCTTCACTAACCCGTCAAACTTAACGGAGTTTGACAATCCGAATACAACTCGAGAACTTGATTTCACAAACCTCTTATCTTACCACCGAAGTTTTGATTTCACAAAACTCAGGATTTCTTCCACCTAACGTTTGATTTCACAAACCGTTAGGATTTCTACCACTTGGTGTAATCCCAACACTAAGAATACAAATCTCTTACAATAAAGTAAGAAAACAAACCGCAACCGAGTAATTCTCCCAACACGGAGTAGATTGTTGCAAATACAATGAAGTCCTTTAAAATATGGCAATATCTCTCAAAGACTCAAGCAATGAGGAAAAACTCAAGCAAGAAATGATTTAGCAATCAAAACAATTGCCTTGCTTGGATATAAGGAGGGATTGAGTAGAATCTCTTTGGATATTCAAAGGATATGTTTTTGAAGTGTTTTCAATGTATATTCTTGGCCAAAAACACGAGATAGGGTAGTTTAAATAAAGATAGGACGGAGTAACTACCAAAAGATTTGAAAAAAATGGTTGTTTAAGAGTTGAAACTGCCGAACTATTCGACTAAGTCAAGACTTAGTCGGCTAGTTTTGGTGAAACTGCAATCTGACTTATTCAACTAGTTCTGGATTTATTCAACTAAGTCAGAATAGAAGTTCATGGATTTAGTCGAATAGTTTTCAACTTATTCGAATAGTTTGCTGAAAAAAATGTGTTTTAAAGGTAGGATGATAAGGGAATGAACCTTAGAGATGCCATACTCTTTAACACAAAATCTAAGACCAAAAACACTACCCAACTAAGGAAACAACCTCTTCGGTCTCGTTCCTTCCACCGATGCTCAAGTACCTTCTTCACAGACCGATATGAATTTGTTGTAGCTTTGATTCTTAGCCTTGATGCACAATATGATGATGATGTTTTGTCACCCTTTTGTCATTATCAAAACCTAAAAGATAATGGACAAAGGACATTGCAAAAATATATTCATGATAGCACATTGTCCAACAGATTAATTGGTCTACCAGTAAAACTTTCATTGCATGCTTTTAGTGAGCTGTAGAATATTGTTACATTTCAAGTACCTACATATGCAGTGTCATTGGATTTGGTTTGGCATTTTGTCATTGTGTAACATTGTAACATTATATATGAGCATATGTGGCATTATATATAGGCATCTATGGTATTATATAATGTTATATGTGACATTACATGGTGTCATGTTTGACATTATGTCTTTCTTTGACACAGTATTGACTATTAATTTGGCACCACTGTGGCGACGATGGTGCAGATTGTGATGGTAGTGTTGTTGATAATGGTATAGAGCAGTGATATCATCGATGGTGACGACGAAAAATCAAAGGCGTCAATGGTAGGTTTCGTTTGTAGCGGTACGGCGGAACAGAGGACGGAGGTGGTGGAGATTCAAGTGATAGTGGCGGTGACGATGGCGACGGTGGGCATCATCGTCGATGACGATTGCGGCAGTGGGTGTCGCTGTCAGTAGCATGCTGTTGTGAAATTGGTCGAATTTTTTTAGTTTTGAACTTGGCCACCACTGGTATTGGCCGCAAATGCAGTGCGTGTGGAGAGCATTTTTTGTTTTATTAATTAAGTTAAAATATTTATTTTAAGTTTTTATAAAAAAATAAAAAAAATGAAAAACTCAAATACTCCCTCTGTCCACCATAGATCTTCCCAGACACTTTTTACAGGGTCAAACTTTACTCACTTTGTTTGCTCATTTTTACTAGTCATTTCGTAAAATAATACAGTCTTGTCACCTCTAGTTTTGTAGAACTTTTCATGTAGTTTATTACTATATAAATTTTATTTTAAATTTTTACTCCTATAATCAATTAAATTGAATTGAAAATAAAGTCGGTCAAGCCTCGTAACACGTAATGGGAAGATCTTAGGCGGACGGAGGGAGTACATTGCAAAGAAAATAGTCCCATGCAGTTATCATGCTCCTTACTTTTATATTAGTTCACATGCATCTTTAAAAAAAATGTGCGTGTGGGAGTATTTTTTTGTTTTATTAATTAAGTTTTACTCCTATTTAGAGGAGTTTAAGTTTGAACTCCTATTCTGAGGATATGACCTATGTTTTATTCCTAGTTTGTTTCTTCTCCCAAGTTTAATTCCTACGTAAGGAAATAACTTATGTTTTAGTTTTATTTAGTGCAAATTTTTCTAAGATAAACATACTCCCTCCGTCTGATGAAACATGAGACTTTTGCTTTTTAGGAGGGATTTAAGGAGAGTGTATTTTGGTATTGAATTTACAAAAATGTCCTTTGATGTGATGAGTAAAAGTATGATTTGATGGATAGATTATAAGTAAAAAGGTATGATGTGATAGTTAGAGTATGAAAAAGTAAGGGGTAAAAGAGACTTTTTAAAAGGAATGAGAAGTGTTTTGTGGGACGGATAAAAAAAGTAAAACCCATTAGCAACATACATGCCCGCTGATCCAACGAGTAGATAACCAAAACAAACAAAGGAAAAAGAAAGAAAGAAAGAAAGAAAGAAAGAAAGAAAGAGGTCTCCAAGAAGTTCACATACTGATCCTAATCAGACCCCAAAAAGGGATCATCATCCATCACAAAGGAAACCTCACAATTTATTACTCCACCATCGGGTCACACAATGTTTTATTATCACTAATACATGCAAATGGTAGCAACTTTGGTCCGCATCACTTCACGCTGAAAATTGAAAAAAAAACACATATTATTACATAAAGGAACAAGAAAAAAATTATATTGTGTAAAACAAATCAACTTGAAAAGATTATTTCTAGACCGAGAGCAAGTGGGGAATGTCAAGGAACCAACTCAACCAAAAGCTCAAGCTTGTGGTTGTGGCTCAGGAATGATTGTTATATAGTCTAACATGCCCCCTCACGTGCAGGCGTGACCTCTTTGAGCCTCGCACGTGAAACCTTAATTTTTTTTTTAACTGGGTGGCGGTGAGTTTCGAACTCGTGGCCTCTTGGTCATTAAGGCTCCGATACCATGTCAAGAAACCAACTCAACCAAAAGCTCAAGCTTGTGGTTGTGGCCGAGGAATGATTGTAATTATATAGTCTAACAGGGAATAGAGTATATAAAATGAGAATACGTAAACGTACTTGGCGCAATTGGTGGAGAGGCTGATCTTGTACGGAATGTTTACGCGGCATTTACCCGGGAGGCCGGAGGCGGCATTTAAATTGATCCCGCTTACGCTCTTAGCGATAGTTTTAAGACAGTTGCAAGCCGCCTGGCGGTCGGTGGTGGTTTGAGCCAGGTTGTTTAGTTTTTGGACGCCACTGCAGCAGTTTGCGGGCGGCAGCGTGGCCCCGGTTCCCTTCAAGTAAGACAAGCAAGGGACGAGGGCCCCGGAAACCTGACCGCAACTGATGGCGGCTTCGGCACGGGGGGCTAAAGCCGCCGCCAAGACGACGCACACCGCTACGGCGGCAAACCACCTTGGTGATGCCATTGGTAGCTAAGATAAATTAAAAAGGACTTTGGATTGCTTATAATTAAGCGGGTTTGGGAAGGGGGAACGTATTATTACTGAATAATAATGCTCACACTTGGTTAGGGAATGAGGCCATGGGGGGGGGGGGGGATTTAATTTATAGGGGAGGTTTTCTGGCTTTACTACGTACTAGCTAGTAGTTTAGTGTGAGACAAATACAGGATTGAGCAATGCTACATTCACACATATGATACTCACAAACTTCACAAACTTATTATTTATGGTTTAAATTTTTATTTTAAAATTATTTTAGACTATTTAATTTTATTTATTGGAGTTCACAATTAGTAAGTTTGTGAAATTTGTGACCATTTGTTTGTGAACCAAGCATTATTCTACAGTATTAGGGAGTAATTAAGTGGTGGCTGGCCGGTGTGATTGGCAGTTGGGAGTAATTAAATGTGACCAGTCTCCTCTCACGTTCAATAATGTAGATGATTAATTATTGAGATTATGATTTTTATTACTCCTACTCAACAAAGTTTATGATTAATTATTGAGATTATGATTTTTATTACTCCTACTCTATTAGTTACATACTCCCTCCCTCCTTTTAGATTGTTATAATGCCTTAAATCTGACTCGTTACCGCACGGAATACGGGGGCCTCGCCTAATTAAGATGTACTTTGTTCTTGCCTCTCCATAATATATGTGATATCACAAACCCTGTTCTTACCTCTCCATAATAAAACTGCCCCCCCTCTTCCCGTGGATGTAGCCAACACAACGTTGGTGAACCACGTAATCTGTTGTCGTGTTTTTCATGTTCATATTGTTATTCTTGAAATCCACATAACAAAAATTCTTTCTATTTGCTTTTTAGAAAATTTTAAAGAAAAAAAAAATATTTTTTTATTTATTTTTTCAATAATATGTTTGATTTGATTGATAGATTATTAATAAACATGTACGTTATAGTGAGCATGGTAAAAGTAATTAATAAGGATGTAAAAGTAGTTTTTTATAGAAAAAGAAATGAATTTACGAGTGAAGAGAAAAAAGAAAAGGTTAAAAAGGCCGAGAATATTTTTTACTAGTCGGATCATAAGCTACATAATATACTCGGTAATTTGATTATATAATTTGATTAAGTGTGAATCATTTCTCGTTGTTTGCTTTGATCATTTCAATTTGCCATCTCTTTCTTTCTATTGATTTCAATTCAACTTTAGATCCATGCTGTTCCAATTAAATATTGGAAAAAATTCACACAAATACTCCAAAAAAATTGTGATTTTACGTTAATACTTTGAAATTTAATAATTTACACCGCTGCTCCCAAAAATTATTTAATTTTATTCCAATATTCCAGGATGCAAACTAAGCAGAATACATGACATTTTAAATGATGACTATAAATTATTAGGCATGTGTTGACAACTGCTGGGTGATAAAAATAAAAGAAAATAATATTTCAGACAAAATAATAAATTTTGAAGTACATATTTCATAATCAAATTCTGGACTATATCAACTTTAAAATATTTTGAATTGTAAATGACTTTTTAAAAAAAAAAAAAAATTGTTGCATATTAATTTGGGTTGCTTCCTAAATTTGGGCATTTCTTGAATTTGACTTAGGCAATGAATTTCATTGTGGTATGTACACTATCCACTCCTCTTCTACCTTTAAATTTTTGTGTGCTTTAGAAGTTCATTTTCTTACAGTATTGGGTGTGTCCTATTAATCTCCCAGGCAACAGAAGATGTTTTTCCATGTCAATACACTTCTTTTGCTCATTTAGGATCATATTCTAAATCTTTAACTAACCTTGATGACTTTTTTTTATGCTTTCTTAAATTAGATGTTAAAACTACATGTTATTTAAGGAGCTTGGCCTTTTATGATTCAGTACATTAATGCATGTTTAATAGTGGGCAGTAGAAAAATGATTTATTTTTTACAGTACACATTTTGAATTCATCATTTTCTGATTCAATACATTTATTTTGGGATCTTTGAATGTATATTCTCTCTAAGCAATATGATTCATATCAAGGCCATATATCTCTTATATATATTAAAGTAGAATTAAAATTGAGTGTCCTCTACCATCGCCTCTCCGGATTCTACTGTTGCTTATTTGGGTATTAGGTATGTCATAATCCCAAATTTTAGTTGTTTTCTCAAATTGAATTGCACTAAATATATAAATTTTTTCTCCCTTATTTTAAATTTTTGCTACAAAATTTGAGTATGGAGATGCTATAAAATAGTAAGGTCCGAAATCTGGAGGGGCGGCTTATATATGTCTGGTTACTCAAGAAAAATCCAATTCTCTGAACCTCCGACCTTCTAAAATACATTCTTGTGGATGGAAAGAACGAAGTGCACCTGAAAGTAGTCATCATTGTTGAAAAATGGGTTCATAAGAGCAACGGAACACCGGCTGAGTCCTAACTCTACCCATAGATGTTAGCAAAAAAAAATGAATCGTTATATGATAGTATTTAGTTTTATGATTAACTATTGTTCTACCCTCATTCACATATTGCTAGGATTTTATTTTTAAGTCCTTTTGTCAATGGTCTTTCTTGGTTTTTTTATAAAGACTTTTTGCAGATGGTCTTTCTTGGTGTTGAAACATAAAAGATGCTTTCTCATACAGAGTAGTCCATAGTAAGAAGCCATTAATTTGTGACAGGTATTACTTGGCATTATTATTCTAATTACTACTCACTACTACATACTTTCTTTCACTTTATTTGCATTTGTGTTTATTTAATTTGATTGATTGGTTTAAAAAATGATAATTAATTTGGCTATAGACCCTACGAATATGTCATCAATTTGTATATGGATATGATTTAGACTAAGGCTGCACACACGATTAGAAGTTAAGGGTGACAATGCCCAAATATGAGACATTGTCCTTGATTATGATGATAATGTGAGTTGTAATGTACCTGTCCAGTCTCAAATTTGATTCAAAAAACCTTGAGTAACTTGAATGTCAGTTCACTCTTGCATAATAGCTAAGTGAATCATTACCCAGTTAACAATGTGTCTACTTAGCCCAAACGTGATGGCTTTCGTTTGGTGTACTTTTGTTTACAATGAAATTAAAATAAAGACCTTAAGGTGAGAGTTTATTTGTGTAATCTGTTTTTGTATAGCAAGTGTAATTGAATTGTGATTACATTATATAGGTTCTGTTTATGTGCAACCAACTAAACATATACTCCCTTCTTTCACAGTTTGACTTCACGGAGTGTAAGAATAGTCAATAGTGTGTGTAAAATTTTCTTCCTTGAGTGACTTGATTCTGATGGTGATGTGATCTGGATGAAATTACTTCAGTCTATGCTTTTATGCAAATTCCAGAAGATCTTGAGTGGTTATGTTGTGAAACTCACCTATTATGGATACATTGAATCCCATATACATTGTGAAGTTCTGTACATCATGGGTTGGTGCAGGAAATAGGAACATCTATTCTCTGAATCATTTTGTTGATGTGATTTGTCTTTAGGACCAGAGTTTGTTTATCTATTTATTCTGCTCATTATTGTTTTCTCTAATGTATGCATATAAAGAGTTTTATATTAAGACAAAGATGGATTGGGATGAATGAGATTAGGGAAGAATGCCTCTGCTAATATACTTGGTACATTTCAAGTAGGTTTAGGCTTAAGTTTTCTGTTCTTATGTTTCTTTTTCTCCTGATTCACTATTAGAATTGCATATTGGTTGGTTTTTGTTTGTGAGTGCAGAGAGCTTATCAGGAAAGCAAATTTATATGGATTTGGTGTTGATCTTTGGAATCATCAGCTTTCCCATATTCATCCTACAAACTCGAGTAATCCCTTCTAACATCTTAGTAGCTAATTGTAAATGAATGAATGTACAGCCTTTGCATACATAAAAAAGAAACAAGGTCATTATTTCTATGTGTTAGGTAGACTAGTAGTCTCTTTACTTTATCATCCATATTGGTTCTTAGCTTTCACCCTCGATTGTGTCATTTTTTTCCTCTTAAATTCATTACAATTTCTTCTCCCTTTACTTGCTTTATGCCATACCCTGAGGTGCTGTGAAGAAATCTCATCAGGTGCTGTATATCTTCGTTTTTAGGATCTGTTAAGAACTCTTAGGTACATTATATCTTTATTTTGTGTAAATGTTATGCACATTCAACTACCATTATATTGGTCATTATGCTTTCAAATCAACTACCTTTTAATACCCTACCACAATACGACAAAGCAACAAACATTATAGATGTAATTCATTTTCCTCTTCAAACAGAAGGAACTTTAAAATATGCACATGCAAAAATAAGCCTTTTTATCTTGCTAGATGTTATGGAGACATGGCATAACATTTGTGTCCTCTAATGTTTCTTTTTACAGTATTAGCACCGGACTACTGTTGTCGACTCAAGTACGTGAAGTTCCACCGACTCTTTTAGCTTATCTAAACATGCAACATACGTGGAGAAATTTTATTATAAGATATTAAATACGACGTTACTTGAACAGGATCTGTTCTATAAGTTGTACCTTTAAATACTACTATATTCTAAAGAGATATTGAATATTTCCCCATTCATTACTACACTACTTTCTTTTATTATAAGTATTAACTCTCTGATGTCCAGTCACCCTTTTCTCCTGTTAGCTAGCCAAGAAAATCTTGATCCGACAATCTTAGCTCTTTGCAGTAGCTGAAGAACTTTGCAAGAATGGTGGTGAGTGTTCATTTTTCTTGAAAAAATTACTTCATAGCTCTTTACAGAGATGAGAGAAATAGAAGATGTGCAGGGCCTTTCAATTATAGAGAGTGGGGAATTTTTTAGCTTACCAATTGGACCATATATTTGAGATTTTATCCTTCAAATTATTTATAAAATAGCATACATTGGAGGTATATATATAATACTACGCCTAAAGTTTGTAGTAGTGTTCTTTTTGTATAGATATTTCAATAAAAAAATTACTCTGTGTTCCATATTTTTACATAGTAGGTATTTTTTCTGTGTTGGTACTTATTGTTTTATTGTTGATAAATAATTCTTCACTTATAAGCTGCTTATAAGTCTAATATTCTTTTGTTGAAAAAAATGACTTAAATGATAGATATATCATTTGTAAATAATCACATATTTGGATAATTTACCTAAATAGGACTAAAACATAATAACTTTCTCAATATATGACCATATGTTTTTATTCCCCAATGTAGAACCATTGGTCCTTATTTATTAGTCATTATTCAACTAAATGTACAGCATCACTTGGGCATTATTCTTTTCACTAGACATTATTACGTTCTATTTAGAGAATAAAAAAAATTTAAGTCCTATATTGGGAAATAACTTATGTTTTAGTCCTATTTAGTGCAAATTTCACATATTTCACAAATGGTAAATGATAGTTTTGTGAATACATTTGTCAAAAGGGAGAAACAAAAAATGGTTTTAAAAATAAGTAGCAAAGATCATATTTTTCCCGCTTAATCTGCTCATTATTAGCTCTCTTCTAATATATAAATGAGTTAGTAAAAGATAAAATAACAAACTACCCATTCAATTATTTTTAATTTCATATTGAATTTATAAGCCTTGAATCAATTCTAACTCATGACAACACAAGTAGGGTTCACATAGATCGATCATAACGATTCTACGAACGTGTAATTCAAATCTACGGATATAACTACACGTTAGATGTCCACATAATCACCTTGATTCCAACGTTTACGATGTACCGAGATAGTACTAACAAACGACGGACGAACAACATCGAACTCCTCTTTCTTCTTCCTTCTTTCTTTTTCTTTCTTTCCTTCTTCCCTTACGCCGTTGTTGTCTTGTTCTGGTTCTTCGGCGCTGGCCTGGTTAGAAATGGTCTTATTCAATAAAGAGTACTCCGTAATAAAAACAAATCTAACCGGCTAAGAGTGTAAGGGGCTGTTTGGAAACTTCTGAATGGGTAAGTGCTGAACCAGTAAGAGGTCTGAATCATTAAGTGCTGAACCAGTAAGAGGTCTGAACCATTAAGAGCTAGTATATTGCTTAACTATTCAGAGGCAAATGTCTGATCAATTCAGATAACAGCTCTTAACCATTCAGACTCTGTATAATACTTAACCATTCAGAGGCAAATCTCTTAACCATTCAGACATCTGAACCATTAAGAGGCTGAAACAAACAGTCTGAACCATTAAGTGCTGAATCATTCAGACATCTGAACCATTAAGAGGCTGAAACAAACAGCCCCTAAGACGTACTCCATAATTCATTTGGGCCACTCAATGTACTAAGGGCATTCTAAAAGGAGTCTCGACAGAGTTTGAAGAAGTGTCTAACTCGTGTAACTTATTAAATTAATTTGGCTAATTAAAGTAGGACAAAAATCTAATAAAATGATGTTAATTTTATATAAATAATTATTTGAAAAACATATTTAGCACTACTTAAACGGCTCGATATTTATTTTAAAAATTCAAAACCTATCATGTTCTCAAAGGTGATGTCGAAATTGAGTTCGTTGAACCACACGACCAATTAGCCGACATTTTCACAAAACCTTTAGAGAAAGAGTCATTCTTCCGCATTCGAAGTGAACTCAGAATCCTTGACTCCACAATGATCTAAGTTGTGCATTTTAACTTGTTAAACGTTTACTAATGTGAGCGTCGGAGAACTTTTTCATACAGCGCTGTCAAGGTGCACAACAGCGTTGTTGGGGAAACACCGTCAACCTCACATGAACAAACAGCGATGTATGATAACCAAACATCGGTGTCACAGGGAGTTCTCTTACTTTATGTTTTCCAGAAACTTTTTTAACATCGCTGTAGCATTTTCAACATCGCTGTTACTTCAAACACCATTTTTTCAATCAAAACCAGAAAGTTCTTCAACAGCGTTGTACATTTGTGCAACATCGCTGTCCATTTTTACAAATTTTTTCCTTATCATAAAACAGCGATGTAGGTAAACCCCACAGCGCTGTTCTAATGGGTTCAATCCCTTACACATTTCTAGAAAGTTTTGGAACATCGCTGTAGGGAACCCAACATCGCTGTTCTTTTGATACCTGTTTTTTAAACTTAACGCACAACAGCGATGTTGAAAGGCACAACAACAATGTCTCAACAGCGATGTAGCCTGTTGAACATCGTTGTTCAACTTGATTTTTTCAAAAAAAATATTCGTTGGGTATTGAATTAAATGCTCCAACAGCCATATTTTCAAAATTTTGAATGTTGGGAACCCCTTTCCCTATATATTTGGACTCCATCTCTTCATTTTTACACACACAAACACAATTCTCTTCAATCACCCTGCATATTTCATCATTTTTTTCTTCATGTTGCTATTCCTTCATTAAAATGGGCAAAGACAAAAGCAGGGCTGGAACCTCCGGAAAATCCAAGGCCAAATCCCGGGCTCCTACAACTACTTTCGACGAACGATTCTACTACGGAGACGGGTCGTACCTCTGGTTCGATTCCGAGGAGGAGCGCACGCGCTTTCTCACCTTCTTCTCCAAACGGGTCATGGCTCCCCCGCGGATTCTCCCAGAGAGACTACCGGATATGCTCGGCTACGACTTCCTAAACGCGCAGCTCCACCAAACCGGGCTATGGTCGTTCATCTCCAAGGCCCGGAAGGAGATCAACCAGGCGCTGATTCGGGTGTTCTACTCAAATCTCCGGCATGAGGGAGACGTGTTCTACAGCCTTGTCAAGAGCACACCAATTGCGCTTAACTTCGAGCGGCTTGGGCGCATCGTTGGCCTCCCCTACCAAGGCGACGACATCTCCAACTACGGCAGAGAAGATTGGGTCCTCAACAACGAGGGTCTAGTCCTCAACGAGCTCGACATCACCGATCTTATCCGCCACGCCACGGGCCGCCCCACCATTTTATTTATGATAAAAAATATCACTATTTAACAAAAATATCAAAACATTAAAGAGTTTTAAAATTAAGGAGAGTACAAAATAAAATAGATAAACAAAGTGATTAGAGAGGGGTATATATCATGAGGAATTTACATAAATAACACTAAAATATAATGACTTTTACTAAATAGCACTACATATGTTTTTTTCCTAATATAGCAATTTTAGTCATTATCTATTAGTCATTATTCAAGTAAATGTTTGCTATCTGATCATTATGGATATTATTAAGTGCTATTTAGGAAAGAAAACAATCTAAATACTATTTAAAGAAATGACTTAAGTTTTAGTGCTATTTAATAAAAATATTTCGGCGGTTCCTTCGGTGCCTCTTCCAAAGTGGGGGTTTTAAAACCCTTCCCATGTGGCACAATGAGAAAAAGACATGTGGACGCAATATTCTACCTCTTTTAAAAACTTAAATTATTCTTGTTAATTCAATATTGGTCCCAATCCAAAATTATTTTATTTTTATTCCCTTCAGCACCATCATAAGTTAATGTCATCTTCGTTAATTGTTTTGCGTCTCCATCCCCATCCAACCCAGCATCGTAATTTCCAGAGCCGTTATCTCCATCTTGCGCCATCGACGGGTTCGGCCCTTCAAATATAACCCTAGATCGGCTCATATCTCTTGCTTTATTTCTCTCTGATTTCCTTCTATCAATTTTTTCATTGATTAAATGTCAATTCTTGTGAGTCGTACGAGCATTATGTCCTGAAATCTCGTTTTCTTGTTCCAAATATGTCTACTTCTCATTTTTAGTTTGATTTCTATCATTTATATTCTTTTAAAGAGTAGTCTAACTTTGGATATAAATAAAAAACTAAATATAAAAAATAAAAAAAGAGAAAAATAACTGAAATCTTATACTACCTCCGTCCCAAAAAGATTTACACGTTTTGACTAAAGTTGAAATTAAGGGAAAGATAATTTTGTGTTGACTTTCCAAAAATACCCTTGATGTGATGGGTAAAAGTAGGATGTGATGTGTAGATTATTAGAAAAAGGTATGATGTGATAGGTATGTTTTGAAAAAGTAAGGGGTAAAAATTGTTTTTTAATAGAAATGGGTAGGACATTGTGTGACGCAATTTTTTTGAAAGGTGTAAATCTTTTTGGGACGGAAGGAGAATTAAATATTTTTATACTTATTTTTTATACTCCCTCCGTCCCGCTATATTCGTCCACTTTTGACTTTTGGAACTGTTCATACAAGCATTTTGACTCATCAAATTCTCTCAATGTGTAAGCCTAAATATAGTCATGCGTGATCTTGTTTGATTTGTCTTAACATGTACTCCTTCCGTCCCATAAAGTGTTACCCATTTTGACTAAAGTAGAAATTAAGGAAGAGATATTTTTGTGTTGACTTTCCAAAAATATCCTTGATGTGATGGGTAAAAGTAGGATATGATGTGTAGATTATTAGGAAAAAGGTATGATGTGATAGGTAGGGTTTGAAAAAGTAAGGAGTAAAAGTGGTTTTTTAATAGAAATGAGTAGGAGATTGTGGGACACAATTTTTTTGAAAGGTGTAAATCTTTTTGGGACGGAGGGAGTAGATTATTAATATATAATTTTTATAATTTTTTAATATACAAATTACAAAATAAAATGAATTAAAAAAGTGTATTGGATGTTGTGCAAAAATGAAAGTGGACAAATATAATGGGACGAAGGGAGTATTTGATATTTTATACTTATTTTTTATAAGATAAGAATAATATTTAAAAAAGGGAAAAAAATTTATGTGGAATTTTTTTTAAAACTTAAATAAATATTTAAATAAATAAAAAACAAAAATTCACTAAAAGTAATCCCAACTTTCATTTTTTTGTATTCTTTTAAAGATTAGTCTAACTTTGGATATAAATAAAAAAAATACATGTAAAAAATAACAAAAATGAGAACAATAACTGAAATCTTATATTTAATATTTTTATACTTATTTTTTATTTTTTATATTTTATATTTTATACTTATTTTTATAAGATAAGAATAATATTGAATTAACAAAAATAATTTAAATTCTTAAAAGAGATGGAATATCATGTCCAAACCCTCACTTTAGAAGAGGCACAGAAGGATTGGCCAAATATTTTCATATCATAGAGATTAGAGAACAAAGTGAAATGCAAACATTACATTGAACAACCCATCGGCAACATGCATACATGCGGATCGAACCAGTTGAGCATGACCAAAAATAACAAAAGGAAAAACAAAGAAAGAGGTCTCCAAGAAGTTCACATACTGATCCTAATCAGACCCCAAAGAGGGATCATCATCCATCACAAAGGAAACCTCACAATTTATTACTCATTAATTATTACTCCACCATCGGGTCACACCATATTTTACTTTTATTACTAATACACGGAAATGGTAAATCTCAGCTGGCAACGACGCTGGTCCGTCAACCTAACCGTCTGTTTCACTTCACGCTGCGAAAAAAAGAAAGCATAGATATTAATATTAAATGGAACAAGAAAAAATGCTGCATAAATCGTGTTTGTTTTTCGACCTCATCATAGATATTTAAGGTAGTTATTGTTTTTGTTTTTTTCAGAATGAGAATGCAGGGTTTAATTACGTACTTAGCGCAATTGGTGGACATGCTGATTGCGTAAGGAATGCTAACGCCGCATTTGTCGGGAAGGGCAGCGGCGGTTTGGGCATTGAGCCCATTTACGCTCCCAGCGACGCTTTTAAGGCAACTGCAAGCGGTTTTGCGGTCGGCGGTGGTTTGAGCCATGCTGTTTAGGCTTTTGACGCCAGAGCAGCAAGTCGGGGGCGGCATGCCCCCGGCTCCCCTCAAGTAAGACAAGCAAGGGCCCAGGGAGCTCGCAACCTGGCCGCAAGTGATGGCTTCCGCACGGGGAGCGAAAGCCACCGCCAGGACGCACAACGCTGCGGCGGCAAACCACACTGCTGGCGACTTATTAACCACTGCCGATGCCATTGCTAGCTAAGATAAATTTCAAAGAGGACTTAGTATTGTTTTATGATTAAGCGCTTTTGGGAAGGAGAAGGTATATATTATTATTATTAGGGAATGAGGCCGGGGGGGATTTTATAGGGGAGGATTTCTAGTTTACTACTACGAGTGTGTAGTACTCCCTACCTCCGTCCCCGAAACTTTTCCCTTTTTTTTCCGTCCCACAAAACAATTCTTATTTTTATTAAAAAGTCACTTTTACCCATTATTTTTTCATACCCTAACTATCACATCATACCTTTTTACTAATAATCGATCCATCAAATTATACTTTTACTCATCACATCAAAAGACATTTTTGAAAATTCAATACCAAAATACACTCCCTTTAAATCCCTCCCAAAAAACAAAAGTTTCATATTTTATAGGATAGGACGGAGAGAGTAGTTTAGTGTGAACCTAACGGACGGAGAGCGCGAGACAGGTACTGCAGTACCCCATACGGAGTAATTAAGTGGTGGGCGGCCTGTGTGATTGACAGTTGGGAGTAATAAATGCGACCAATCTCCTCTCCCATTCCCTTTCCCGCATCTCAATAAGGCACTAAGTTATGGTGGCGACCAATCTCGGTGAGGGAGTTCTCTAAGAAAGGAGGGTGTGGCCCCTTCGTGAATCATGATACACATATTTAAAAATTACATCAAAAGTTTTACAAAATAAGAGATGACTAAAATGTCATATTTGATGAAATAATAATCAATGAAAACATACAAATTAAACAAATAAAAATTATCGAGATGCCGTGATACTCCGTAGTAAAGAGATAAATCATTTTGGGATAGAGAGTATATATAAATTAATAATTTAAGGTTGTTAGGGGTGGTGGGTCATTATGGTTTGTTTAGATGAGGATATAAAATGATGAGTGGAAAGAAAAAATCAAATATAATGAGGAGTATGTTGTTTGGTTGTTAAGGATATGAAGAGAACATGAGAAAAATAAAAGGAGAATATACTTAAAGAAATATTTGCACTAAATAGCATTAAAACTTATGTTATTTTTCTAAATAGCACTTAAATTATTTTATTTTCTAAATAGCACTTCATAATGCAAAAAATTACTGTTGGGTACCCTCAATTTTGTGATAAAAAGTATCAGGTTCCATTATTTTTCTAAATATACTCCTGGGTACCTTAATTATCCGAAAATTTTTTAAGGGTGATAAATTTGTCCATGCTTCCGTTACTTTCAATATCCGTTATCTTTTTCTTCATTCATTCATGCATTCATTCATTCTTTTTTTATCTTCCCAATTCCCATTAGACACCATCCCCACCCAAATCCACCCCCCCTTTTTTCCTCTATTTTTTCTTTTCTTCTTCTTCTTCTTCTATTATTATTATTATTATTATTATTATTATTATTATTATTATTATTATTATTATTATTATTATTATTATTATTATTATTAGTAGTAGTAGTAGTAGTATTAGTATTATTATTAGTATTAGTATTATTACTACTATTAGTTATTATTATTTTATTATTAGTTATTTTATTATTTTATTATATTTTATAATAATTATGATTATTTATTTTTATCATTTTACTTAGTTATTAGTTTTACTAATCTAACTTTTTTAGCAAAATAAAATTAAAACCCCATTAAAAACAATTGTAGGCCCACATTGACCTTTCCCAATTTCCAATTTTCACTTGCATAAAAAAGGTTAGCATATTTTAAAGCTTTAATTAAAAATTACTTTTGTAATATATTTATGTATAGTTTCTAAAAAAAATATGCATTCCCTAGGTTATAAATTATACGTCTTAATTCATTATATTAGTAAGAAATTTAACATCATTTTTATCATTTTACATTATCTATAAAAAATTCCAGATGAATTTACCCGTCGTATTCTTACCTCAAGTCTTCTCATTTTCTAGATTACCCACAATTAGTGGCGGCTGCCACTGACCACTACGTGACTAATGCGAAAGACATCATGGAATGACAAAAAATTAGAGTAGTAAAAGTACTAGTAATTGTTTTTAATTATAATAGTAATAAGTTTTAATTTAAATAATAATTAGTGTTATTTTACTTAAAAAATAGTGTAACAAAACTACTAATTAACTTTAAATAATACGGAGTAATAATAAGTTAAAAAAATAGAAGAGAAATAAAAAAATAAGAAATATATAATAATTAATACAAAGCAATACAAATAAGTGCTAGACTGAGAAAAAACACATGTGATGCTGATGTTATAAATATAACCGGGTAAGTTGACCTAGACACATACTCGATCTACCCGTAGTAAACACACACAAAACATGAAGTATGATTCGGAAGAGGATTCGCATCCATACTTACATGGATCCCTACCGACTTTTTGGTCGAGAAGGGTTAGAAAAGATGCCAAAAATAATAATATTACCGACCTGTATAAGCCATCCTTTGTGGATCGGAATGTCTAGGAAAGACTAGAATTTCCGAACACATAAAATATAGACGTGTGGGATTGGATTGTTAGAATAAATGCCCTTCACTAGAGGGGGGTGAATAGTGAGGCACGAGAATGTTTATAAATTTTCGCGGAATAAAAATCGCAGGAATAAAGTAAAGAGCGGAATAAAAAGGAGTAAAGGGAGCACACCAAGATTTACCCTGGTTCACCACAACTTGTGGCTAATCCAGCCTCCCGAGAGACTCTCTATAGCTACACTACTTCCGTTAAGCTTACGGGTGCTTAACAAACCGTTACAACCTGAGAACTCGAGTCCCACGAGCCTCAATACACTTGCTCGGAGATACCGCACTCCAAGACTTCAACCCGAAGGAAAATACCTTTCCTTCGTACAACCAAGGGAAACAAGCTTCCCTAAACGTGTTTACAACACTAAGAACACTCAAGAACAAGACTCTCTTTAAGAGTAGATGTTGAGTAAACTATATACGCTCAAGAACAACTCAAACTTCACAAATTGGCTCTAGAAAGCTATGGAAAATAATGTTGTTTGGATGCAATGATAATATGAATATTGTGAAGTGAATTGATGAGAAAAGCAGACCCAAACACCCCTTTTTATAGTGCCAAAATAGGCTCCAGCGGACCAATGCATTAAAGGGGTGATTGGCTTGATTTAAGGGATTGAATAAATTTGGGATCTGCAGGATATTGGCTTCCCATCGATGTTTAGACTCACCCATCGCTGGTAAGCCAAATTTCCTTCAGTTTTGAAGCCAACGGTCACCTACCCATCGATGGGTAAATGCTTCCCATCGCTGGGTGGGAGGTTGACTTTCAAACAAGGAAAGAATCAGCCTTAAATGACTCCCAACGGTCATGCCTTCCCATCGATGGTTAAGCCTTCCCATCGCTGGGTTCCCATCGGTGGGTAAAGCTTCCCATCGTAGGGTAAGAGCATTCTGCCTTGTGGTAATGTTGCACCAAGGCTTTAACA